GTGATTGAGTTAATTTACATCTTATTTTCCTTGTGACGATTGAGAAAGTTTTGTTTGTTAGGTTTCATATATTTTTAATATGTCACGTTAGTTTTTTTTAATAGATTATTGAGATGTTCATGAATTTACTATTTGATTGACACATCAGTTTTTTTCTGCGAATGTTTTCTCAATTAATATATATAGGATGTTATATTATATTTTAAAATATTAAAATGTTACAATTTAGTTGGCTTTATATTTGTGACACATGTAATTGTGAGTTTTTGTTAAAAAAAAACAAAATATGTAGAGATTTTACCATGACATATAATTAATTAGAATGTTTTGATTGATTCATTTAATTGATGTGTGTTTTACAAAATATTTTTATTTTATTGTCTCTTCAATTAATATATATAGGATTTTCAATTTAATGCTTCAAAATACACAAAAATGAAAGTTTATTTTCAAAATTGGAGTATTTTTAGAATGTCTATATTATTTATGTTCGAAAATAATTATGGTATGTGCTCACCCCTATAGAGAGCATCACTTTGGTATCATTATATGTTATGATTTGTTTTATGGTAGAAACGTGTGTGAGATTCTTTTTCTTTTCAGCGAAGCTTGTGGATTTTTTCTCTACCTATACAAATACAACAATGGAATAATTCTACATGTATGGTCACATAAATAAACATTATACTCATGTATCTATGCTAAATCGTTTAATAATACTGAGTGGGGCACTGATGATATGTTTTCCTTTTTATGATGAATTATATACGATCGATGCTTCGTACTATTGTCGGCCGTCATTTTATTCATATTCTTTGTGTATTGCAAAGTATCATTAAAATTTCTTATCTCAAATTTGTGTAATCGATTGCAAAATAATTTATGTGCACGCAGAATCATGTTCTGGATCCATGCATTTAAGATATCTTGTTTGTGCTAGATATCTTAAATGCATGAATTACATGACCGTTTTAAATTTTAGAGCTCCTCTTCAAATAACAAAATTAAATTCCTAATATTCATTTTTCGTAAAGTTAATTACAATAAAATTTATTTTAATTGTAACTTATTGTAAAGAATAGTTTATAACTATAAAAACTCTTATTTATTATTATTTTTAACAACAAATAAAATTTAAATTTTATTGAACTCAAGATTATTTCATTTTTACGATTACAATTAATAACTTTTATTTAAACAAAGCCATTTTTCTATTTTTTTCGAAGCGAAATCATCAACTAATTTAACAAATAAAAACTCTTCTTTTTTTTTTTGCTCAATATCAATATTCATTTATCCATCTTAAATGTTTTACACTCACATTTCTTGTTCAACTATATT